CATGAAGGAACAGGATATTTCTAGAAGGACGTGGCGTGATACTAGTCACGTGACCTCGCTGACGCAACAATATATTTGTGTGTGTGTCCATTGTTGGGGTTTCTTTACCATCTTGGACAATCATTTCATTCATTTTGTAACATAAGAATGCTTACTGGATATTCTCAGATTTAAAACCCACTGTTTGTGTTTTATGATCAATGAATTTTGTATTGTTATTTGTACTCACCAATTGCAGATTGTAGTTCAAACTGTTTCTTTTGGGATTTTTTCTTTCCCATAAAGAAGTTTTTGTCAGCTAAGAAAGCTAATGCAACCAATCCCGGAAAGAAGAAAAGCGTTACTAAGGCTTCCCATAACTCCACCTCATTCGGTGTGACAGCAACCAATATGATAAGCAACCAAATATACGCAAAAACACTGAAAAATGATGTAGTAGCAAATACCTAAGTGAAAACAAAAAAGTATACAATGAACGTTATTGATGAGTACTAATTACAATAAATATGTATGCCCTTCAAAATGATATATATATATATATATTGAGAACAGTTTAAAATGGCGACACCCACACCTTTATCTGGCAGGATAACAACAAAGTTTTGGTTGCTGGCAAGTTCTTTTATGGCAGAAAACTCAACCTGTTTAACAGAAGTTTTTTGGGGGGTTGAAGTTATAAAGGGGGACATTTTTTAATGTTTTAAATGAAAAAAAATTATAAATTAGCAACCACAATAAAGAAATTCCATATCTTGCAATTACCACTCAATGAACAAGTGATCATGATTTCATTTTCAGTCTCAAATCTTGAACTTTCATGTAAAACATTTAAATATGCAAAAAAGCTAACCAAATTTCAATTGCGTATTCGACAAACTATTACAACTTGTATAAAAGACACTTTACAGAGAATTTGCAGTTGTACACTGTAACAGAGATTTTCACAAGTTTATAATTATTACTTTAAAACAGAGCAAACTACAGCAACTAGATAAATTCAATTACTAGCGAACACACAATATAATAAATTTTAAATCAGATGTAAAGTAATTGCATCTCACATTGATAGATTTTATTCTACGAGTCTCTCCATGCGGTAATGCAACGACACAGACAGCTGATATGGCAAGAAGATTGAACGCTGCAGATCCAACAATTGTTCCTGGGCCTAAATCTCCTGCTTTAAAACTGCAACACATACAGATTTATTACTAAAAATAAAATGTAACAAAATGCGTCAAATACAACACACTATGAAAGAAATACAATACATCAAGTTATATTAGCGAGTATGATATACATATAAACCTCATAACTAGCCTTCTGAATTAATAGAATCATGTATTCTGATAACGTTCGAAGATACGTTTTCAGAAAAGTCAGTTTTTAAAGTTTTAATTTTACATCGTATAATGAAAAAAAAAACAACGAAAAACGTTTAATTAAATATTCATATAAGGGAAACAATGAAAAAAATTGCCACTTAAATTAAAAATAGCCAATGTTCGAAGATATTTGTTGATCAGTTGCAGATATATTTGGACAGAATACAGGAAATGGTTTATGTAGGCAAGATAAAAACGTCAAAAAAAATGTGTTGTAAGCTATATTTATGATGTTGTAATATGTTTATTTTAGATTTTTAGCTAAAGGGCGCATAACGTTAAGATAAAGTAACCCCTAAAAATACTCAGAACAAGGGTAGAATATAAATACGACAGTTCCGTGAAGCATTGAGAGGCTAGCTACTGAACAAGTTGAAAGACAGTCAAAGAGATAGGGTTAAGTGTTATTTTAAGATAAGAGTTAATACAGTCAGTGCGTTTCGTTAAATATTTGGACTTGAGTTCGCTGTTATGAATATCGAGTTACTTTGTACAAGTAATTGATGTCTTTACGTAGTATAGTACAAATACTGTCATTTCTAACGTAGGCCTACAACAATTTACGAAAGAACAACGTAACATAAGTTGGAAGACTTCAAGTGACATTTTGCTAAAAAGGGTTATAGTGTGTAACCTTATATATTGTAGTATATTTAGCAGTTGTTTTTAGTGTAAAATTACACAATGGGGTGTCTGCACTCTGTCCAAAGCGGGGAATCAAATTCCAAATTCTGGTATTTGTCAATTTTAGGTTCTGAATGTTAAGTAAGGAGTAAATGAACTATTAAAGTACATGTTCATTATATTATTGACATTTGACGCTTATGCAGAAATTCTAAATAAAATACGTGCTGTGTGTCAAAGCGTGATATTTTCTAAATGATAGACAAGTGTGCCACAAGTTTTTGCTTCTCATGCCACTTGTGCCACAGATAGGTCACCTCTGCTATGTAATCTTTTAGTCTTGAAAATCGTAATATTAAGTAATATCACACTGAGAAATAAGTATGCAGTGAAGTCAAATTTATAATTAATTTTAAAATCATGCACGTTACATTTAAATTTGCAAATTTTGAAGATGGATGTACTAATAATATTGTTACGACAGCGGAAGTCATGTGATGCTAGTAACACGTCATGAGCTTCTAGAAAATTCATGTCCCTTCGTGAAGCCTCGAGTGTTTACTAGATGTGCGGTATTCTTGTATATAAGACCGCCAAGAAGTGACAGCAACAATGGAATTGAATTGCAGACAGAGATAGATACGGACAATTGAGTCAAGCGCGTGAATCGTTCGTTCGTTGTGAATTATAGCGTTTGTTTAAATTATAGCGTGACTGTGGAAATTAAGTGTATTGTAAAGTTGTACTGAGAAAGAATAAACTAGTTTTATTTAAGAAAGGACTTGTATCGCTAAAGTTTCTTCGGAAATAATTTTCACGGAAAATTAACAAACGAACAGAGATGTAACAATATTTTACTTCTCACAATTTGAGATAATAATCACCTGAGATTGTACTCACATGTGGGAGAATCTCACTGCGTTATACAATATGAAATATTCTTTTTTTTTCAGTGTATTTACATTTTAATTTTCAAGACAGTGCCTCTGCACGTTTTTAAAGTATGCAACAGATTCAGTGGTTAATTTTCTAAAAAGTGCTCAAGATTGTTTGTTTTTAATTATGCACAAAGCTGCACGAGGGCTATCTGTGCTCTGCCCACCACGGGTATCGAAACCCGGTTTCTAGCGTTGTAAGTCCGCAGACATACCGCTGTGCCACTGGGGGGCGTAGAGTGCTCAAGTAAAAGAATTACGCTTTAATTGTAAAAGTAGGTTGTATTAACCAAATAACTCAATCATGGATTACAATAATAAACGAACTGCACTAAAATCCTACTTTGAGTCTTTTAATCAAATGAGTTACCTTATACACAGTTCCTGTTTATGTTGCAACGTTGTTTTTTAAATTATCTGGTGAAAAAATTCAACGTCCAGTCTACGTAACGATAGGAAATTAGTTTATTTCCTCCTTCAATGCTTCTACAAGCTTTAAACACTTTCGTATTTTGTAGGCCACATTTACAGTCACGCTAATTGTACAACACTAACGTAAAATAAACTTACTTGTACAATTTCACGATTGATCGATCCTGTAACCAAGGGAACACTAACTAAAACACCCTGACTAATTCACTCTACTGACTAAAAACAACCATCTATTCTTGATGCTTCACTGAACTTCGGAGTCACAGATTTTAGAAATTTCTAAGCCTACATTGTGTTTTAGTGGAACGCTCCCGAAGAAGCTATAAAGCGAAACGTTGAGTGTCCAATTAAAGAAAATAACAAATTTGGTATTATAAGGTTCTTTATTACAAGTATTAAATAAAGACAGTCACTGGCTAACAAACTCCCAATAACTGACCGATTAACACAATCGATAATCTATCCGCTCTACCCTACTCGCGTTTAATACTGCTCACACTGTTCTAAAACTTCAAAGAAAATTCCTCGCCTCGTCACATGACGATAAACTTTTCTTTCCCCCGATTGAACAATAACAGCACGAGAAATATCTATATTTAGAAACATAAGGCACAACAATACGATAGTTAACAGAACAACATAAATTTATCCAGTGTTGTTTTTGATTTTCTGAAGTATTTTTTAACCAACGCTTCGTATTGTCTACAAAATTACCATTAATTTTAGTATTAGTGTCATTGTTTTCCTAACATACTAACTGTCGTAATAAGTACTTTCTTCAATTTATTAGCTACATATCAATTGAACTTTCATTTATTTATAACAGATTTACGCCATAAATGTCGCATATTCGGTCTCAATAATTGTTTGTTTGTTTGTTTTTTTGAATTTCGCGCAAAGCTACACGAGGGCTATCTGCGCTAGCCGTCCCTAATTTAGCAGTGTAAGACTAGAGGGAAGGCAGCTAGTCATCACCACCCACCGCCAACTCTTGGGCTACTCTTTTACCAACGAATAGTGGGATT